TATTTTGATGATTATCATCATCAGAATCCATAAAGGAAACAGGCTAAGAATGTTGTGATTGGTCGATACGCAAAGTTAAATCTAAATACATAACTTGGACTCATAACATAATTTTAACAGAAACAACAACCAATTAAAAGTCATCTAAGCAAACAACAAATTGTTTAACTATCAACCCGAAGGGATATAAGGATTTCTCCCAAATCAAAGATGTCAAAATGTTTTTAGCAAAAATTTTCTTTTTTGAAATCATCAACAACTCCCTTCCCTGGGATAAAAAAGATGAATATGAAAGAAAACACTAAAAACACTTTTTAGTTTTAAAAACACTTTGAAAATGTTGTTTGCTTGTTAATAACATGTTATGAGAAAAAGTTACCTACTTAGTTTTGTCTAAGCATAATCAACCTCTCACAATATAAAATTAGCCACTAACTCTCATAATAAATTATGCAAAGAAGAAATATACCTCAGATTTGGTAAGTCCAGGTGATGATACCAAAGTGTGTATTCAGCGGAAGCAGGATCAAAATAATTGCAGGAAACTTTAAAAGATAATTTAGAGAAGCAACATATATATATATATATATATATATATATATATATATATATATATATATATATATATATATATATATATATATATATATATATATATATATATATATATATATATATATATATATATATATATATATATATATAACAAAATCACTAGACTGAGGCATGTCAATATATATTTTATAATAAGGCATTGAATTATATAATCATGTTATTAAATTCTACAAAAAAAATTTTATCTTAGAAAATAATTACAATCATCCTGATATGATGGAGACAAATATCCCACGACTTATTACTTATGCAGATAATGAATATCTCGCTAGAATGCACCTTCAAAAGGAAATTAATAATGTAGTACACAATATGGTTGATAATTCTACTCCATGCCCTGATGGCTTTGGGAGATATTTTTCCAAACCTTTTAGGATATATTAGGGACTGATGTGATCAATTCAGTGAATTAATTCTTCGAACAAGGTTGAGTCCTTTCTAATCTCAATTCAATCAATGTGACTTTGATACCTAAACAATTTTTAATTCAAAATCATCACTTTGATCATTGAAGATAAGTTAGTTGTCATAACTCCTAAAATTGTTTCAAAACACCAAAGATGCTTTATTAGAGGCAGATTCTTTATGAGTACATTGAGATTACTTTAAAATCCACTAATATGTTAGACAAGAAATTCTTTGGAGGTAGTATGACTTTGAAGATAGAAATCATAAAATCTTTTGAAACTTTAGTTTGATAATTTCTTATTAAAGTTCTTGTTCGATTTGATTTTGATCAAAAGCTTTGTGATTGGATACTTATCATTCTACACTCAATTAAACTATCAATCATGATAAATAGAAAAGTTGTATGATTTTTTTCTTGCTCTAGAGGAGTGAGGCAAGGATATTTTCGGTCTCCCTTTCTCTTAAGCGTTATTGAAGAGGAATTTAGTAGGTTGTTATCTATATGGTGGATTAGGATAAATTAGCATTCATATCAGTTGGTAAACCAACCATTATTAGCCAAAAAAATTTATAGATAACTTTATGATATTTTGAAATGCTATAAAAAAATGCTTAATTTATTAACTATCTCCTTCAATAATATGGTCAGAATTTTGGTCTACACATCAGCCTAATTAAATGTAAGCCTTATGGCGAAGGTGCTTTTGGATCTAGGTTGAGATACACCGTAGATATGCTTAAATTCACCGGGGAACAAACACCGCTTAACTATCTTATTGTTCCTATATTCAAATCTAAGCCTGGAACTCATCATATTCATATCATAACAGATAAAGTATTGGCCAAACTAACTACTTGAAAGTGCCACTTTTTTTTAATGATGGTCAGGGATTAATTGGTCCAGACACTTATACCAGTCATGCTTCAGGCATGCTTCTGTATAGTCTTAGAATTTATGAGTCGCCAATCAATCTTCTTAACAAGTTAGATTCTTTTATCAAAAATTTCATGTGGACATGTAGTATAAACACTAAAAAGTTAATTACTACATCTTATAAGGTTATTTGGCCACCTTTGTCTAAAAAAGGTCTTGCTCTAAGAGATATTAAGATAATAAAAAAAACTTATTGCTTATCTCTTTCTTGGAAGGTGTTGACTATCAATAACCAATGGTTTTCTATACTTATCAGTAAATACTTCAAGCACAAAAAACCAATCATGCATCATATTTATTCTTAAGTATGATTTGACATTTAGCATTCCTCTTACTTTCTAAAGGCACATATTGGATGAAAGATTGGTAATGGAAAGAACGTTGATTATGGAATGAAAATTGGTTGGGATACAAAATTAAATATTTATATCTAGTATTACTAATGCATATTCAGTTTAGGCAAACTACTAAGGTCAAATCAGTGCTCCAAGATATTAATTGGAGAACTCTTGATAACTTACCTATTATAGGCAACACATTTGTCCATTTAAATGTAAGTCTTATGATGGAGATACTTCTGGATCTAGAATGACGCGCGTTGTAGCTATGCTTGAATTCACTGTGGAACAAACACCACTTAACTATCTTAGAATTCCTATATTCAAAGCTAATTCTAAAACTCATCATCTTTAGATCATAACAGATAGAATATTTTCCAAGCTAACTAATTAGAAAGGTCACATTCTTTCTGTGATGGGCATAATTCAATTGGTCTAGTCAGTCATACAAGACATGCCTCACTATAGGCTTAGGATTTATGAATGACCAATCAATCTTCTTAACAAGTTAGATTATTGGATTATAAATTTTATGTGGATAAGTAGCATAGACAGTAGGAAATTAATTACTACATCTTTGAGGGTTATTTGTTCACCTTTTTCTAAAAGAGGTCTTGGTCTAAGAGATATTAAAATAATAATAAAAAAAGCTAATAATTTATCTCTTTTTTGGAAGTTGTTGACTATTAATAATCATTAGTCTTCTATGCATATTTGTAGATACTTCAGGCATAAAAATTCAATCACGCATCATATTTATTCTTCAATATACTGTGACATTAAGCACTATTTTTCCTCTCTAAAAGAATATAGTAGATGACAGGTCGGTAATGGAAAGAACATTGGTTTATGAAATGAAAATTTGTTTAGATACAAAATTAAAGATTTAAACCTAGTATTACGAGTGAATGTTCAATATATGAAAAATACTAAGGTCAAATTAATTATTCAAGACATCAATTGGAACACTCCTTACCGCTTATCTATTTTGACTCCTCAAATTGTTGAAGACTTATTTCATAGATGCATATACCTTTTATTTTTCTGTCATTGGATGAGACAATTGTTTGGTATGAACATTGATATAACTAGTTACAAAAACTTATTATTCAAACTTGCAGGTAGAAGTTGAAGCTCTCAAACTCAGAATTTGATCATGACTCTCAATATAATAATTGTTTGAAAAACTTGGCACACAAAAAATGATTTCATGCTTCAAAATGGTTAAATTAACTTTGATATAGACATCTTTCATGTTAAACAATTGGTATATATGACATCTACTTCTTTCAATGGAAAATGTACTCTTCAATTTATGAGTTTATAATTATTAAGTGGTTTAGCATCAAATGTCGATCTCCTCCCGTACCTAGAATGATAAAAATTAATTGGTGATTTCCTAATCATAGTTGGATTAAGTGCAACACATAGGAAGACTCAAGAGGAAATATTCGAATATAAACTTGTGGTGTATATTTAGTGATAATTTAGGAAAATTCTAAGATTGAAGGTTTCACTTCCTTTCAAGCTGAATTGAATGGAATCATGTATATTATCGAATATATTAATATGAAGTGAAAAAATATTTCATATGAAACCAACTTAATGCTAGTCATTCATATATTTTCTAATGTGAATATTGTCATTCGTACTAATTAAATAGAAGAATACTTTACGCATTATACGGTCATTCAGATTCAAGGCATCTCATATTTTCATTAAAGAAAATGAATGAGCAAATAAATTAGACATTGTGTTTTTTTATTTTTTATTATAGCAGTTAATGATATTCACATTTTATTTGAAGTATCTTTGAAAGGTTAGATTTTATGTTCCTTCATTCTTTTTATTTTTTATTTTTTATTCACTAAATTATATATATATATATATATATATATATATATATATATATATATATATATATATATATATATATATATATATATATATATATATATATATATATATATATATATATATATATATATATATATATATATATATATATATATATATATATATATATATATATATATATATATATATATATATATATATATATATATATATATATATATATATATATATATATATATAAAATTTACCTGTTAGTTTGTTCGGTCTTTTCCGGTCTCCATAATTAAATACTTACTTGTATTTTTTATTTATTTTTGTTGACTTTTCTTAGAAAAAAAATAAAGAGTATACTTCAAATGTTTAGTTTGGGCTTTTGGAATCATTATCTCTTGTGATAGTAATGTAACATAACTTTATAACTTCCAAAGAAGCCTAGCATTTAATGCTAAGGAAAGTATATACACACACCACCAAAATTGTGTGAAAGATGTATAGAAAAAACAAAACAAAAGAAAAAATAACTAAAAGTGATATGATGGAAAACAAAAGAGTAAAACAGAAAGAAAAAAGGGTGCAAAAATGATGTACAAGAAAGTGAGTTTGAGAATACAACAATTCATACATAAATACACCCCACCACCTCCAAATTCTCTTATATAAAGATATATCATCTTACTTATTGGTCTCACACTCGATCAAATTGCTTGTTCTGGTCCCCTTTCATCACTTTGTACTTTGAAGAGTGTCTTGTGGAGAAAAAAGACATCCATTATCTCATCTTGTTTCTTCTTGTTATATATCTCAAATCACCCAAAGGGAAACAAGGAAGGAAAAGCTAAAGGTTTAAGATGCTTGCTCAAGAGAAATCCCAAAAGATATACCCGACATTTGCCGAGGTACGATGCCTTACAAAAAAATCTCCATTATTCTTCCATAGTTTTCACATTTTTCACACATATCACTTCTTCTTACCTTCATAGTAAGACTTATATGGATTTTTTTACAACTTCACTCTCTCTAGTCAAATGTCATTGACATTTGACTAGAGAGAGCGGCTAGCTGAGATGGAACTGGAGAAAATATTTCAACTAGAGAAAATATCTTTTTGAAAGCTTTCACCATTTCTTTATCATTATACTATATATATGAAAATCTCATATTATTTTTGTTATGTTTTTCTAGGTAGTGGAGGAGCTAAAGAGAATGGTGGACATAGGATTTCCAATAGCAGCCATGAGCCTAGTAGGATACCTCAAAAACATGATCTTAGTTGTATGCATGGGAAAGTTGGGAAGCCTTGAGTTAGCAAGTGGTGCTTTAGCCATAGGCTTCACCAACATAACCGGTTACTCAGTCCTTTCAGGTCTAGCCATGGGAATGGAGCCTCTATGTACTCAAGCTATTGGTTCACAAAACTTCTCCTTAGTCTCTCTCATATTAAGAAGAACAATCCTCATGTTATTAGTAGCTTCCTTACCTATTTCACTCTTGTGGCTCAATCTCGAACCATTCATGCTATGCCTTCATCAAAGTCAAGACATAACAAGAATAGCAAGCTTATATTGCCGCCTCTCGATTCCCGATCTCATAGCGAATAGCTTCCTTCACCCGATTCGAATCTATTTACGCAGCAAAGGTACAACTTGGCCCCTATTGTGGTGCACTTCACTTTCAATTCTCATTCACATCCCTTTTGTCATTTTTTTAACCTTCAAACTTCACCTTGGTGTACAAGGTATTGCTATTTCAGCTTTTGTTGCAAATTTCAACACCCTTTTCTTTCTTTTATCATACATGTTCTACATGCATGTCTCAAAGGTTTCAATCTCCATACCTAACCCTACCCCTCCCTTGTTACAAGAAAAACCAACAAGTGTTAAAACCCTAGGAAAAGAATGGAGTATGTTAATAAGGTTTTCCATTCAAAGTTGCCTTGGAGTATGCTTAGAATGGTGGTGGTATGAATTCATGACAATTCTAGCTGGTTACCTTTATAACCCTCGTGTAGCTTTAGCTACGGCTGGAATAGTGATACAAACAACATCACTTATGTACACTTTACCGACGGCACTAAGTGCGTCGGTATCAACAAGAGTAGGAAATGAACTTGGAGCTGGTCAACCATCAAAGGCAAATCTATCAACCATGGTAGCAATTGGAATGGCACTAGCAAGTTCAACTTTGGGACTATTATGGACAACATTAGGGAGAGAAAAATGGGGGAAGGTGTTCACAAATGACAAAGAGATTTTGGAGTTGACAATGGTTGTTTTACCTATAATTGGTGTTTGTGAGTTAGCAAATTGTCCACAAACAACAAGTTGTGGAATACTTAGAGGGAGTGCAAGGCCAGGTATTGGGGCAGGGATAAATTTTTATTCATTTTATCTTGTGGGGGCGCCAATAGGAATAGTGTTGGGGTTTGTTTTGAAATTAGGTTTGGTGGGGTTTTGTTATGGTTTGTTGGCAGCACAAATTGCATGTGTTGTTTCAATTCTAGTTGTGGTATATAACACTGATTGGGAAAGAGAGTCATTGAAGGCAAAAAACTTGGTGGGTAAAGGTGGTTCATGTGACACATTATTTGCACATGTTGTTGTTGAAGACCAAACAGTCAAATGTGAGCAAGGTATTGTCTTTCTCAATGACAACAAGTGAGAACTTATTGTGCGGAGAATATACATACATATATTAATACATCAAATAGGTATTTTTGAGAATTTGAAATCTCTTTTTAGATCTAACGCTCCTCACACCTGATGTATCGTACAACTATTATTATAGAGAGATCTTAGTCCGTATTCGAAGAGGCATTTGAATACGGATCGACTATTGACAACATTTGATTATTTTTGTTGTGATCATTCTCTTGTGTATAAGTAATTTTGCATGTATAACTCATATTTTCTTGTTATTTTTTCTTGCTAGCTATTAATTTCTTACCCAGCTGGTTGGTTCTATAGTCAGCAAATTGTAATAGTTGGATTATCTGATTGATTAAATATAACTAAAGCTCTCTTCTCCTCATTTCTTTGTTTGTAAAAGAGTAAAAGAATCGGCTATTATGAAAACTATCTTAACAATACTTTTAATTTCATTAACATGTAAGTTGCACTAATCTATGTTATAATTTATACTATATAAAAATATTTCTAAAATTATAATTTATTTTATAATAACTTTAAAAATTGTGATTAAAAATAATGGTTGTCATGAGTGAAGACAAACTACTGTCAAAGTGAAAATTAACAGTTAGATGGTTGCGGCGGTCAAAAGTCGTCATGGAAGATGATGATGACTATGTTGAATAAAACTAAGATAGAAAAATTAATGAGTATAATCACTACACAAAAACATATTATAGAAATTCTAAGATAACAAAAATTATTGCAATTGTCAAATGACACAATCAAAGAATTCTTGGTTGTCAAATGACACAATCAAAGAATTCTTGAAACAATCTTAGTCCTTGCAATTAATTGAAACATGTATCTCTTTTTGGGTTTAAGAAAGATGACCCTTTCAATTGGTTTGAGAATGATCTTGTTAGGAATGTGGGTCTGGTCTCCAAACCTCTTTTTGGGGTGATATTTGTTAGTGATGAGAGTGATAAGTGGATTTGAAGACATAATAAAGATGATATTTTTCATGTCTTCTGTCTCATTATATCTTTGTATCTCATGTCTTCTTCTAATAACCATGTTAGGAGGAAGGTAACAACTCTTCCTATTATTTAAGAAAGTTGGGCTCGTTCTCTACAACAAATAATATATTCTATGATAAACCTTTCACCTTGCACAACAATTAACCAAGTATATTTTTTGGGAGCTGTTTTTTAATTGTTTTTTTTAAATTATATACAACATATTTCCTTAGTTTTGTTAACCACCAAGGCAATAAATCTATTAGTGATCTCGCTTCGAATCCTAGTTATAACATTTTCTATTCTATGTTTATTTTTCAATTGGTTTAGAGACCAAGTCTTACATTTTTCAGGTGGCACCTTTTCCTTTTCCCTTCATTTATTTCAAATTACAAAATTAATATTTGTTGGATGAAAAAGAAATACTCATGATACAAGAAAATTAAATTAATTGTTTACAATAAAAAAATATTTATTTTGTTAAACTATTTACTTAAATGTCTCATTGTTTCAAATGTCCTTTATTTTTCTATAATTTTTTAAATTTGTCTTTTGCCTCCATTTATTTTTCTCAATAGAAGGGAAATATTATTTTGCATGAATTTCATAGTATATGATACGTTGTTGACAAAAGTCATTTGTACGATGACTAGTATAGTAAAATGTTGGTGTTGTTGGTTTTGTTTCAAGTTAAATGTTCTTAGGAAATGTTGATGTTGTTGATGTTCAAAAGATCATACAACTCATTTCCACGGAAATGTTGATGTTCAAAAGATCATACAACTCATTTTCTGTACGTAACTCATTTTATCTTCTTAGAAATGTTACTTTTATTATTGTGAATTGCTTATTGCTTATATATTATGTTTAGAGATGTTATTCTGTCTATGTTGATAAAAATGAGTTATTCTGATAGAAACGTTGTTGACAAAAGTCCATTTGTACGATGACTAGTATAGTAAAATGTTGGTGTTGTTGGTTTTGTTTCAAGTTAAATGTTCTTAGGAAATGTTGATGTGAGTTATGTGAAAAAGAAATAGATTGCATATGTAGGTAAGAGTTGGAGGGGATTTAAGACACAACTCATAAGTGATTTTATTAAAAAACCAAAGCTTGACTTAGAGCCTCTGTATGTGATGTATAAGTTTGTCAAGTCTCGCAACACTCCTGCATTCTTGGCAGAGAGCCTAAAAGAAAAGGAGAATAGGGCAAGAAATATCTATCCACATTGATTTTTTCGTGCATGATATGATAAAATGGAACATATAATGATTCAAGAAAAAATAAAACAAAGAGAACTAGAGTCGAGAAATGGAAGAAGACACGTCAAAGACTTTAACGCGGAGTTGTTGAAAAGATTGTAAGTAAATACTTTTTTTTCAACATTACTTATTTTAGTTAATTCAATTTGGTAAAGATGAATTTTTATTTGTGTTGTAAGATTTACTGATCGAAAAATTCAAAGATGGTACGTTTGTAATACAAGAACGTCATGACATATTGGTAGAAGCGATTGGAACAAAGGAGCATGGTGGGTCTGTCCATGGTCTTGGAAGAGGCATCGACTCGAGGTTATTTTTTGGATCATCGCAAAAAGGTAATAAAGTAATCTGTAAAAAGAAAATTGAAGAGATAGTTGATCAAAGAGTGAGGGGGAAAGTACAAGAAGTATTAGAAAAAGAGTGGGAAAAGTGGACTCACAAGGTGGGAAAGAGAGAGAGACTCAGGAGAAACATGATAGGGTGAACCAAAATGAGCGGGAGAGGTTGATCTATGAGGTGCAAGAGAGGTTGATCTCGGAGGAGTGAGAAGGGGTTTATCAAGAGGAGCGAGATAGGTTGACTATGGAGGAGCGAAATAAGTTGACCGAGGATATGCAGGAGAAGTGTATCAGGATGTGATTGAGGTATGTTTAAATTTGGTTTAAAATTTTGTTGCTATGTGTTGTTGTTTGCGTATTTAAATTTATGTATTATATTGCAGTTTTTTATGATGCAACAAGTGAAATCAATGGGTGTACTCGTCCATCCAAATTTAAATTATCTAAACATATCTGAGAAATTTGTTTTGGGTCGTGCAAGCAAAAAATGTTATTGTTCTGCTCTAAAACACAATATAGACACCATAATACCTTAACTTGATAACATACAAATACTATCAAGGATGGTAGAGGAGATGGCATACATCTTCATGATGACATTAAAACATGAACTAGATCAATTTATATAATTAAAAATAGTTGTGTTTTAAATATTTTGAAGGGATATACTTGGTTGGACATAACTATACTACAATTATGGTGCATGTAAGTATAATTTTTAGGGCGATTTCAATTTATATTCATTGTTCTCAAATACTTTTACATCAAGATTTGACTTTTGCTTTAGTTTTTAAGTACATGCATGAGATGTGTGTTGAAAGGGACTTAAGAAAGTATTGTTTCTTAGATCCATTTAATATTCAATCTCAACAACAATAATCAAACATTATCCAGACGTACATACACAATAAGTTGATTCATGAGAAAAAAGAATGTTATATGAGTTTGTTTTACCATGCGTAAGTATATATGAGCAAGACGTATAGTTTGTCCTCGATCAAGACGTAAGAGCAAGCTCTGCGCTTGACTGTGCTAGCCTCTTTTGCGTTGGGGGGTAGTTCCCCCGTGGTGAGGTACATGTATAACAGGGTCATCCAATAGTCGTTGTCGCTGATGGTGTTAACGCCGATGGTCAAGGCAGGTTTCTCGATGCTTAGTCGAGATAGTACCTCCTGGATGACAAACTTTTTTCCTCCCTTCTTCTTCATGCTCGTGAGTTTCGACTAGACGTCTTACCAGGTGTTGTGTTTGCGGGGAACGTGTTGTAGTTCTGTGGAATTGAACTTTTTAATCCTTTCTTTAACTAGAGTCAAATACTCGATGATATTTTCGTTTTTTCCTTGGTACTCTCCCCGTACTTGAGAGGCACCAGCTGTGAGTCGGTGTAGATCTTCACCTCCTTTGCGCCCAGATCCTCAGCTAAGTGTGGACCCACGAAGAAGGCTTCGTACTCGGCCTAGTTGTTCGAGGTCGGGAAGGATAACGCGAGCGAGACTTTGATCAAGATGCCTTCTTTGTTTTCAAGAATGTTGATCGCGCCGCTTCCCATCGAGTTTGACGCATCGTCCACGTAGATGGTCCACTTGTGGGCTCCGTTGGCCGGAGAGGTCGGCGTGGCCATCTTTGCCACGAAATAGGCTAACACTTGTACTTTGAGAGATTTCCTGCCTTTGTATTGGATGTCCAACTCGAACAACTCCAGTGACCATTCGAGCATCCTGCCCGCCATGTCGGGACGACCGAGTAGTTGCTTTATAGGCTGATCGGTCCATACCATGATCGTGTGATCCATAAATTAATGTCTCAGCCTCCTCGCCGCATTAATTAGGGCTAGAGAGACCTTCTTGATTTGCTGGTACTTGAGCTCGGGGCCCTGTAGGGCCTTTCTAGCGAAGTAAATTGGCTTTTATCCCTCGGGGGTCTCGCGCATGAGAGTCGCGCTAACCGCCTCGGTTGCGACAGCGAGGTACAAGTATAAATCTCAGTGTCTTTCGGCCGTGAGAGGACTGGGGGTTATGAAAGAACTTGTTTGAGATGGAGGAGGGCTTGCTCGCATTCCTCTATCCATTCGAACGCGGCCTTCTTACGCAGAAGTTTGAAAAATGGAAGCGTGTGTTGGGCATACTTAGCCCTGAAGCGAGACAACAAGATGATAATCCTATTTAGGGATTGGATTGATTTCTTCGAGCTCAGTGTTATAAACTCGGAGAAAGCCCTGAATTTGTCGGGGTTCGCTTTGATTCCTTGTTCTGTCAGATAGAAACCGAGGAATTTGCCTGCCCGGACATTGAAGGTGCACTTCTCTGGGTTAAATCTCATCTAGCACCTCCTCTCCGTGTCGAAGACCCTTTTGAGGTGGAGGGTGTGGTCGGTTTCTTCTTGGGACTTTACGATCATGTCATCCATATAGACCTC